AGATCGAACCCACTACCTCCTGTATACCATGAAAGTTAGTTAACATCTCGCCACCGTGGCGACGTGATGACGTCGCCGCTACGTAGTGGCGAATGGCGGCTGCTGTTGTTGTTGTATGTTCACTTGTGTCTGTGCTGTGTGTGCGCGTACTCAAATAGGCTGCCCCTCCGTACGATTTGTACGCTCCCGGCGGCCGTTGCACAAATCCCCGCTCAGCCAGCGCGAACCGTGAATGCGCTTTCGAGGCGGAAAACTTCGACGCTCTCTCGGGGCTATTGTGTGACCATGGCTGAGCGTTGAGACACTGGTGGGATCAGTTGTCTAGGGACACATTTGTGTGCGTGCGTACGTGCGTGTGTTTGTGAGGTAATGATTAATAATAATGCAACAATTTCCTTTGTTCATCAAAGAAAGCCCCACTGAGTGTTTTACAAAGTTTTCTCGGAAGGGTTCAGCTTTTGGAAGTTCGGCCAATTCTAACGATGAGAGCTTGGCAAGTGGGAGTGGATTCCTCTGTTGTGATAAATTATAGTTGTTTGTGCCATTTGTTTTCATGCCATTTCTCAATTCCTTTAATTACCGAGGGGTTTCCATTGTTTGGTAGCTGCTATAGAGAGTATTTGACCCTTATATATCATTAATTCACAGCGTCGTGGGTTGCAATTAGCATGAATGGTTAGATATACATTTTTATTATTACTCGTACACATTTCTAATGCTGTAAGCTCTGCAGATATAGATTAAATCCGTCGCTGCACTGTCATCTCCTTGCAGCCTCACATGCCAAGCCTACAACAGTTGGAATTTCGTGCCACACTTGACCCTTTCCTATTCCTATGACGTACGTGTACACTGACGTACGTGTAAGTCATAGGTTTTTCAAAGGCCATGCCAGAGGGCATGTGGCACAGTTTGGCACCAGCAGTGAACGGGACACCCACCCTGCAACTTGCAGACGTCTCAGAACGACAAAGGGTTAATAGACACAATCGTGCTTAGCTCCTAATATGTAATGACATTGGGCGCATTTTGAGGGTGATTTGTGAATATGCATGCGTAAGGGTAACAGGTAACACAGTGTTTCATGATTCATCGCACTATGGGTCTCTCTTATCTTTGTGTGTTCACAACCCGGCCATGGGTGACACCATGAGCGAGTGTTATCTGGACTTGCTGTGGGTCTCTCATCGGTAAAACTCCGCCTGAAATGAGCCCCTGGTGCGGTGTTTAAACATCAGCGCTGCGGAGACAAATGTGGTCTAGCATGGTACTCCGTGTACCAGCTTGTGATAGGTGCCCACTGTCAGCACTTGCCCCAACAATATCTAAGGCTGTGCCAGAAGGCGAGACCACCCAAGGAGCAGAGTTTGTTGAATGGTTGCCTCATCAGATAGTTTTTGGCTTGATAACTGAAACGTGAGACACGAACGTGAATGTGGAGCGAGACAAAATCGGAATCTTTATTCTCGAGAAATCCGATGAGCTATGAAGCTCTTTGCTGGAGCCGTCCAGTCGAAAAGAGAACCAGGCTGATGGTGGTGGTTGCAGGACGCAATGGGCAAAGCCCTCCGTAGGATTTCAACTCCGGTGGCGGTGATCTCTAAGCAATGGTTCCTCACTCCGCACCCCCCTTAAGCCTCCCCTTCCTCGCGGACTCTCGCGCGCGTCCCCCGCTGAGCGAGCGTTTCGGAATTTAGACCTCCTCCATTTGGCGCCTCTCTTGGGACGAGGTTCTGCAGAGGCTCCTATAACGGCAGCGCTTGGGGCAGTGGCGCTTATGGAAGCCGTCGAACTTGGCAGTCCAAATTCACCCCCCCACCCATGCCCCCCCCCACCACCTCCCACCCTGACAAGGAGGTTGACCTTCAAAGGAGCAGCGTTATGCAGCAGCCGCTGGGTTTGCCCTGAGAAATAGAATAAGAGAAAATGCCTATGCGAGTGGTGCGGTGAGATGCGGTCCCGTATAAGATGCCTTGGTGTACATTCGGAATGCCACATTGTATTGAATAACATGTTCGGGAAAATGAAAGCATTATTCAATGATGCATAATGGATCGTAGATTTTGCAGCGCACCCCAATGTGCAGCAATCCTAGGAAGTACAGTATGGAGCAATATGAAATCTGATGGGTAGCTGTCAGGGAAATATGCGTTTTCATAATTGCAAATTCTTCCTTTTTTTGCCCTGGCTTGGGTCTCGGAATTTTGGATAACGCTCTGGTAAATTTTTGGCCGGTTTTCATAGCACAGGTCTCTAACATCAACTCAACTTTGTACACTCCGTTTTAGACGGAGCAAATGCACTATTTTTAAGCGTTGGTTGGGAAGCGCTAATGAATGACTGTTATGTGAGTGGTCAGTGATGTAATTGCGTTTCAGATTGTAGTAATTTGCACTTGCCAGGCGCTTTTCACGAGGTCTCAAGGCGTCGTGCGTGAACGGAACAAGGGTAATAAAGAGAGAGAGAGCCGGGTGGCAAAATAAGAGCCGGAGAGGACCAAAGCCGATTAGAAGAAAGTTTTAAATCAGGACTTGAAGGGTGTGTTTTAAAATTGTCTTTAAAGAAAAAAAAAATTCTCACTTAGGGTTTATACATTCAGAATTGTGATGTAATTTTATTGGTTAAATAAAATATATGTATATCTTTATTTTCATTCACAGCATCCTAACCACTTTTATTGCAGCAACAAAAATGAAGGACACGCTGATGTATATCATGGCCTTGGGTGGGTGGGGTACATTTATTATTTGTTAAATCAATGTTACAATTTGCCCAACCCTTCTGATGTGAATGAACAAAACATTTTATTGGAGCAAAATAAAGGCGACAGTGTGAAAAAACACCACGTTAGCCTACAAGGACACACTAATTAAAGCAAGCGGCGGCGCAATGGATTTACTAATTGCCGTTGTGTTTGCTCTTCTCCAATCTCGCAAGTCACAACCGCCCGCGCACTGATATTCCCCAGTAGCCCCAGACGCTACGGAGACACTTAACGCCAGGCAATTGCGCGCGCTCTTTACGGGAAACTGAACCACCGACCTCCCGAGCAAAATGCAGCGGCTGGGTGGGGGGGAATCCGTGTTGCCATCCCCGGTGGGGCCTGCTAGGAGAGAGATGACAGGACGTGGGGCCAGTGGTAATCAAAGCACGCGATCGATTTCCACCAACCGCTGGCGGCGGGGCAGGTACGCCGCCAACGCCGCTGCCGCAAATTTACGACGGAGCAATGACTTGTGACTAATTTGCGGAGCCTTGCGCGGCGTGTGCGTGCGCACGCGTCTGCGTGCAAATCCATAACCCACGAGGCTGTGTCGAGCAGAGAAAATGCGTAATAATATACGGATAACAGATGTGCCTGCTCCGGCACCGCTGGACGGAGGCTAATTTAAAACACGCGTTGCACGCCCCGGCTGCCTCCTTAGCCGCTTGTGCGCACAGACAGAGAGAGAGAGCGAGAGTGAGGTGAGCGAGCGAGCGAGTGAAGAAGACTGTCACGGTACTGCGCAACGTTTAATTGCGTGTGTGGCACACAGCGTAAACGGGTCGCTAGCGTCTGCACGTGGACCTTGCTACCGTGAGTTTGTTCTTTTCTGGCTTTGCAATTGCAATTAATTGGAAGCATCAGCAGCACGTTGTGCACGATAACAGTGGTGGTGATGATGATGACAATAATGATTGCAGACAGTGGAGCACTGCTGCTCAGAAGTTTGTGGATTCAGAGGCATATCTAAAGTGGATGGAAGGAAATATATATATACAGGGTGTCCAGAGAAGTATTATCTGCTATTATTGAATTATAATGAAATTTCATGGTGGAGTGGCCGTATAGCAGCTGTTAATGCACTGCACTACAAACCTGGCAACCTGTTGTTCTATTTCAAATTGACAAGAAAACAGGTGTTAAGATATTCTTTGGGTCTTTCGGTAAAGTCACGTAGATAGGTTCAAAGAAAATAACCTATCTACGTGACTTTACCGAAAGACCCAAAGAATATGAATTCCTGCAGTCACGAAAGCTTTAAGTCAAGATTTAGGTGTTAAGATGTTTAATGACCAAATAGATACCTTTTGCAAGGCATCAAGTCCGCATTAACCAAACGTTACTTGTGGCAAAACATGCAAACATGCAAAACATGCAAACAAACACGCTCTGATAATGCAGTATATCCATTCTCTTTGGTTCTTTCGGTAAAGTCACATAGATAGAAAAAACAATAGATCACGACGTTTCAATAACAACACAAGCAACCGTCATCAAGTGTGAAACAAACACAGCAGGAGGACTGCTGACGTAGGGGTATATGCATTGTCTTTTAAATTGATTGGCCTACACCAGAGATACAGCCTTCTTTATGGCCTTGTCTCGCCAGTGTGAGACCAGGAAACGCCAAAAGGCAATGAGGGTCTTCTTATAAGTCCCCTCCTATTCTTTGGTTCTTTCGGTAAAGTCACGTATAAAGATAAAATAATAAATTAAATAATAGCATACGACGTTTCGATTTCAACACAAGCAATCATCATCAGGTATATAGTTTTCTGGTTAGATTTTATGTCGCTATTTCATTACACCTGATGATGATTGCTTGTGTTGCAATCGAAACGTCGTATGCTATTATTTAATTTATTATTTTATCTTTATACGTGACTTTACCGAAAGAACCAAAGAATAATTCCTGCAGTTACGAAAGCTCCAAAATTAAGATGAAGTCTCCTCCTGCTTCGGTCCCCCCAGCAGTGCAAGCGACTCCACCACAGCGAGTACACCGGTTGGTCGCCTGCGGTGGGGGCAAAGGGTGGTTCCTCACCTCTTCCAGGAAGTCTGGCCAGCGTGCAAGAGTAGGCCTAATACCCTCTCGAGGGTGGAGACCCTTCCATCAGCAGTGGCGTGAGCGAGAAATTGCAGGGCTGTACTTTCACCCGGAAACCCAAACACGGGGATGAAACTCATGTTTTTCTCTCGTCTGTCCCCCCTCCAATCTGCCCTCTCGCCCCCCCAGCCTCGCTGCCCTTCCTCGTGCTCGAGATCAACGTGGTGGACCCGTTCCAGCGAGGATTCTTCTGCGGTGATGAGACCATCGACTACCCCTACGAGAAGAGCGAGACCGTGTCCGACGGACTCCTGATTGCCGGCGGATTTCTCATCGCCCTGGCCACCGTGAGGACATACCTGCACCAACCACGGGGCACAAAGACAAAGACACAGATCCCCCGTATGGCCTTAACAGATTGTTGGGGCAAGTGCTATTAGTGAGCACCTAATGAAGGCCAGCATGGCACACGAGGGGGTGGGTGACCCGCACCAAACCTGGCCGCCTTTGTATCCCCAGTGGCGATGTTTAGACACAGCACCAGCTACTCGTTTGAGGTTGAGTCGACCTCGGGGGAGGCCCAGGACCGGTCCAGATAATCGTCACTGGTGTTGGCTGTGAGCGGGAATCGAACTTTGGTGCTCCGTGTTCGGAGCGTAGCATGCTAACCGCTACACTACCGCTCCCCACGCGGCACACACGTGCACACACGCATGCACACGCTCGTGTGTGTGCACTGGTGCGCACACACATGCACACGTGCGTGCGCACGTACACACCCTGTATCTTAGCATGATACACCCCCACCTGCACATAGCACACACCTGCACAGTCTGTATCGGCACCAGGTGTGCTATTGCATCGCAGGATCGTGAGAGATGGCAGTGGCTTGGGGAGGTATTCATCCAGCAGTTATAGTTGCCACATGTCCTGGTTTCGACAGTGAACTCAATTTAGATCGTCCTCTGGGAACTCTTCAAGCCCTGCCGGGATATGATAAAAATGCCACTTTTATTATATTCCGACAGTTTTTTTTACAGATGTTGTCCTTCCCGTGCACCTCTGATAAGCACAGTTGGCTACGTTACAGTGCGAAAGACATTCAACATACATACAACACACCACTCCAGACAATGCATTTATACATACAACACTCCCTTCCTTCGGTATTGTGAGATATTCTTCTTCCCATTATATGTAGTGGGTTTATATTTTTTTTCACAGCGGCGGCAACTCTTATGTTCAAACCTGACTAGCGCAGAACACCCGTGGGGAGTGTGGTCACAACCTGCATGCTCCCACGTCTAAGCTTCTCACCTTTAACAGCCTTTTATATTACCAGCATGGTGAAGTATGGTTAAATACCCACCACAATCTGCATGGCATGGGGAGCACCTCGTCTTGCTTTGGAACGTTACATATTACATTCCAGGGGCAGTCGTGGTTCAGTAGTTAGAGTATTGCACAATAAAGTCAGAGACCTGAGTTTAATTCACAGCCACGGCTAACTCTACTTTTGTATGTATGTTGAATTTCTTTCGCACCGTATGAAGCCAACCGTGATAATCGGAGGTGTTGGGCGAAGGACAACAACCTTAATACAAAAGCCCGTTTTTAAAGAAATGAGACAATCTCGATGATTTTAAAGTGCATAGCTCCCAGTGCCTTCCTAATATCGGAAGGAAGAGCATTCCAGACGGCCGCAGAAGCACATGTGGAAGCGCGCAATGCGGTGACCATCTTTGGTCACTGGCTAGCCAAAAGCCATTCGATCGCTAGCCAAAAGTCGTGAAATCTGAACTTTTCATGGGCCTGTTCCACTTCACCAAACCCACACTTACCAGCATGGTAAGGAATGGGTCAAACAACCACCATGACCTTCATTGCATTGGGTGGCTTCCAGCAGTGGATTGACAATGGGCTTTAAATGATGATGATTGTTGTTATTATATCAATGTGCATTGCACATGCCACGTCTCTACCCCATGCACTCTTGGCTGCGTGACGCATTTCTCAAGAGTGATGGTTCTTGAGTGACAATGTCATGACATAGAGAGAGAGAAACCCACACCAGTTGCCTCTACAAATATAGACACCGCCGATAATAAAACGCTTTGTGTTTGTGTCCTAACATGCACTGTGCAGTGGTAATATTATTGTACGTGGTAATATAATCGCCACACAGCAGTCCTCACTGTCAGTCCACTGCTGGGCGACAGGCTTTGCGTGCCGTGCGGGTCGTAGGGGGTTACTTGACCATACTTCACCACGCCGGTCAGCGCGGGTTGGGGACGTGACAAGGCAAGACCGGTTCTCACATCGCTTGGTACTGACGTCAGCCGTGGTTGGGAATCGGACTCGGGTTGGCGGGCTCGTCGAGCAACGCGCCAAACGCGAAATATTTCGTGAGAGTAATTTAATAATACACGCATTGTTTTCTTGCCTCTGCTTATATCATTTAGCATTCATCCCAGGATTCCCTTACGAGAGAGATGTTATTGTCCCAGTGGGCACACACCTGGTTAAATAAAGGCGACTAAATTAAATTACTGTGAATGGAATTACACGGCGGAGTTTAACAGTCTGTGCTTATCATTTAATTAACGTGTTTTCTTCGTCTTGTTGGCTCGACAACCCCCAGTGTTATGAGCACGCATGCCTAGGCCAAGAACTTTGTTCAATAATTTCCTTCTCTTGTTTTCTCTCTTGCCCTCCCTCGCTCCCTCCCCCCCTCCCCTCCTCTCCCATCGCTCGCCCGCCTCCGCAGTTCTCATTCCACGTGCCGTGCGTGCCCAGTTGACATTCTCGCGAGGAGGAATACTGCCTCCGCTCATAATGCAAACCCCACTTTTCAATTGCAGCTGCGTGCCAAACCCGGTGCGTTGAATTTGAGAGAAAATGAACCGAAAAAAAAAATGCGGGCAAAACAAAAACTCTGCGTTGGATCGCACGCGTGATGACTTCATGCCTCGCGCGTCCGGGGAAAGTTCAGCCGCTCGCTCGGGGCCAAGACTCTGAACCGTCATAACCCTGCGCACTCCCTGGTTGGTGGCGGTGGCGGCGGCAACTGCGTTTGACAGCGCAGGAGCCCACCCGTTCCACCCCCCCCCCCCCCCCCACCTCACATTATGTGCATTTGCAAAATACCGGGGGGTGGCAGGTAGGGGGGATGTCCCGCGATAGCAGCCAGGAGCTACCCGCAAGTTAGCAGTTAAAATTCGGGAGCACCCAAGGATCTCCTAAAATGCATTTTCTAATTTAAAATTGTTTTCTGCTGACGTGTTTAAGCGTCTGCCAATTGAGCAACAACAACAAACAAACAAATAGCCCGATTGCACATTCGTTTATTTGAAAGCTGATATCATTTCCTGGGTAAATATTTGCGAGATACTCCTTGTTCACCAAAGCGCCCCATCTCCTCCCTCCTCCTCCTCCCTCCTCCCCATACTTAATTTACACGCGCGGCCTTCACTGCCCAGCAATGCGCCCGGCGCGCGCTCAATATAGGATGTGAGTAATGGCCCTCGATAGGCGAGATAAGCCCCCCTTAAACAATGGAGCCGCGGGCCCAGCGGCAAACCTTGGCTCGTCATCCCGCCACCACTTGCCGGGCAAACGCAGTGGGCTGCCACGTAACGACAGGTCCAGTGTGCAACAGGGCATTAGGTGGGGGCAATTGTCATTAGTTCTCATCTGCGCTGCGTTCAATCGCACGATACTTGAAGGTCAAGACGGCCCCCTCCGTCTTTCTGCTCTGGCACTGCTCAACTTTGGCATTTCTATCCAGCGTCCCGTTTGGCCAAGTTCTTATAAACTCTGCTCAGTTCAATGAACGTATTCACTTTTCTACTACATTTGGCGTTGTGAGCGTTTTCGGCCTGCGCTGAGCAACCAGGATAACAATTTTTTTTTTAAGTGGGAAGAGAGAATTAAATGTTGCGGGACTTATAAGAGAGAATTGTATGGACGCATCTCGCCGGCGTGGAAGTTGCCTGTCTGACTCACAATAGGAAGGTTGCGATTGATCTTTCACGGTCGCGGGTTTGAGTTTATTTGATTTGTTACACGGATCATCCCGTTGAGCCAGATGCCCGGCTATTTTACACGGGAGATCCGTGGTGCGTGAGCACACCAGCAGCAAGAATAACAACGCGGGTATTGCGGGAACGAGTTACAGGGTACTTAAGGTATATTGCAGAACCAACAAATGGGGGTTTTAACGGTCGTAAATGAAACACACGCGAATCGAAACAAACTGTGCAAATATAATATAAGAGCATGACGTGCCAGACAAAAGGTTAGTTGCAGAGGCAAATAGGCTCTAAAGTTTAGTCTAACAGGGGCATATTTGCACGCGCATTTACAAGGCATGGTGCAAACGTAATGTGGGAGCAATAGGCACTGTAAAAATATAGGTACAGGTGCAAATACGATGTGTGTTTTGGTTTAATGTGACCATCGAGAGCAGGGTAGTGAAGTGAGGGAACCAAGGTGGTCGTCCCACAGGGGCGATGAACTGGGAAGTCGGCAGTGGTTTCTACTCGGAGAGACTGAACAAATGCACAAGGTGGTCCAGTGGCTTAGAGGGCGAAGCTAGCACCCCTGAGAACCTGGGGTTCGAATCCATGTTACAGCTATCCGTGATTAAATCTGGTTCCCGGCAAGTGTAGTGAGTTTGATGGTCTCAGTCCTGCCATTAAGAATGCACAAAAAGCCTCAACGTTTAATTTGGTTTTTGCACTTAATTTGGCTGAAAATTTTGCTCTGTAAATGATCAATTTTACTCGCATGGGACAATATCATAGTAGAGTGTATAGGGAAATGGGCAAAGGATGAAATAAGCATAGGCACTCGGACTTTTGTTGGGGAGAAATCCTGAGAAAAATATTGTCGGCCGCTCTTCCCATAGGGTGCACTACTTTGTGAGATTTCCAAATGGATTATATCAGCACCATGACGTTACACTGATAGCACAATTGTAATAGACCGGGGAAAATATATAAAAAGCAGCTTTAATATGAAGAGACTTTCCTCCACAGTGCCCTTGGACTTTAGATTGTATTCATCTGAGCGCATCTTTGTGGTCGGATGCAGTGCATCTTTCGTTTTGTTATTTGTTTGGAGGTGGGCGTTTTGATGTCATACGCCCTCTTCCCCCTTCCCACCCTTCCCAACTCACCAACCTTGGTCCGCTTTGATCCAGCCGCTGTTAACTCGGTCCAGGGGGGGGGGGGTGAGGTGGTGGGGGGGTACGGGGGGAACCTTGTCGATGCACTGAATCATCTGCTGGTACCCAAAGCTCTTACCGATACGCCGACACGTGCTGGTATGGGCAGGTGGCCCTGCA